TGTGTGTGTGTGTGTGTGTGTGTAACTGATGGGGTGTGTCCAGGAAAGACGGGCTTCACAAGTGAGTTTTTAAGTGGGAAAATAAAAGCAGGATGAAATTGAGATCCAAGATGGACGACATGACAGTCCCCTAAAGTAAGGCCAAATCATCTTAATTGCCCCCTGTTGGCTGGCTGCGGTATAGGCTTCATGTTAGCAGATGGGACATGGTCAAGATCAAAGTACACACAAAGATGGTTTCTGTCATTTAAGATAGTTCTTATCTTATCTTCCAAAAGCTTATGGATACGGAAGAAATGGAAGAAATGGAGCAGTACCACTGGAAATCAATGGGGGGGCGGTGTAGCCAGGAGTTCTAGGAAGAAATTTCAACAGTGGCAGAACTTTTTGAGGAGAGACTTTGCGGCAGCTGGAACGGCCTCTTTGGTCAGAGGTACATCGTTACCTTTTCCACCATCACCTTGTTTGTCGTTGTCAGAAACTCTTGACTCTGCACTGCCCTCTAATGGATGGATTACTTTGCCTATATAAAGGATGCATGCAATTATGTGGACAGTGGTTACTTCGTTTAAAACATTTTGTACGTAAAAGGCAGCATAAATTAGTTTCAAGACTGACTCACAATTGGTCGTTTGCGTATATTCCACACCACAATCACTACTGCACAGACTCCAGTTGACGTCAGAAGATGGCGGCGCCTGTATCCGAACTATATCAATACACAACAGGAGGAAGAGGAGACTCATCGTGCACCATTATTCACAGTCTGATCTTGGAAGCCAGATGGAGAAGTAGTGACTCTGCAGAGCAGATCATTTAATGGTGGCATAATGCATGAGAATGTGAAACTGTAAACAAGCAGCTCGGCCCATTTTCACAGCCCAAATACCAGATCCTGGAAATCAGAGAGACACTGGAGTCTTGTTTTCAAGGCTGACGCTGGCTGCACATTCCAGCAGCGCTGAGCCAACTTATCACACAGGCCGCTGATACGTGGAGTGAGTCAGTGGTCATCAAAAGGCAGCGTGGACGAGGGATGTTTGGCAATCAGCTTGGGAATAGTGGGAGGGACGGAAAGTGGAGGAGCCGAGTAATGATAACAGCGCCGAGGCTGCAAGGACAGGTCCGTCCTGTCAGAGGCTGCGGCGTGATGCTGAACAGCTGTGGAGAGAGAGAGAGAGAGAGAGAGAGACGCTCACTTCCTGTGTCCAAACCCCTAAAACTATCTTTTTAGTAGGAGGAGAGATGAGTTCCTCCAAGGACAGAACTAAACACTGATTTTTTTATATATCGGCCCTCTGTTTCTCAATCTGTCTGCGTTTTACTGTCGGGAAGAGAGAAGTGAAACATTCTCTCTCTTAAAACACGTCCTTGTTCAGCTGCCCTCTGCACATTCTTATAGAAACTGACACATTCTGTTTCAAGGGTTAAAACAAAGAAATGGCCAGATGTAGAAATACAATCAAGTAATTTCCCGTCACACATTTCTTACTTTTGCCTTTTGTGAATTTGCTGTGGTGGAGATGTGGTCACTTACTTAGCAGATCATCTCGGCCACAGCATATTCCTAAGTTTCTGCTGTTTAATATCCTTTCTCTTGTCATCTTACCAATTTAAAGCATTGATGTCAAAGTTTATATTATATGTATATATTGAAGAACAGACATTTCTCATGTTGAGATACATGTAGACTATATACTTTAATTTGCTTTGTGTAAAAACTGCAAACTGATCACTCATCTTTGACATGTGTTGTATTTTCTCACATGTTTGTACTTGAATCTCTATTGAGCTAAAAAAGTTATTTTATTTTATAGCCATATGATGAAACCTATTGCCACATAGGAAAATGTTATGTTTTGTTGATGCCTTCTGTTTATAAAGATGATAACTTCATATTTAAGAGCGAAACGTTCCATTAAACATTCTTTATTGTGACAGAGTGGGGAAGTTTCTTCTTAATCTAGTGGTTCTAAAAATTCTCAAACCTCGATCTGTATTTAAAAAGTACCACAGATGCACTTGGGGAGTTTGTATCATGAATGTAAGAAGAAAGTCCTCAAAGTCATACCTAGAAAGTTAGACACATGCAATATTTGATTATAAATAAGTGTTTTTCAGTAATTGTCTGTTTTCTTCTTTTCTAGAAGGATTCTCCATCCAAGCCGTCTGTGGCTGAGCTGGCCGGAAGGTTCAAAGGTCACATTCTACCAATGCCCGCCACAAATGACGAGGTATGGTTCTTTATTTTTATCCTGCATGTAACAGTATCAATGCAACAGTGAACAAAACAACATGTTAAGTTGTGTAGAACAACATGTTTTTTACTTAAACTAGAGAGAAAGCACACAGGCTGCATGTGTTGACAGATTTTATTTCTTGTTTTCTAGTTATTTCGTAGTCGACCTCCGTGTTCCCTGAAGTTGCAAAATCAAAAAGATGATAATGAAGAATCAGATGTGAGTATTTATTATTTTGTTTTATTGACCCATGTGCTGCAGGGAAAGGAAATCCCCTGAACACAGACACTGTTTTGATTAATTCAGATTTTTATTGCAACACAGTAGACAGTGTATAAAATCTGCAATTTTATCTGTTTTCTGCCTATTATCTTCAACTGCATGACGCACTATGAAACCAAACAAAGAATCTTTTTTGTCCAATACATCCAATACATTTGTTGTCCACTACATCACAAGTTTCTACAATATATAAATGTTGCTGTCAAAGATGTTCCAATACAGAGACCAGCATCAAAAATGTTTTGGCATCAGTGAGCACACTTATCAGAACCAGAGCTGATATGAACCAGCAGCATCGTCTGATCTGAGAATAAATTCAATGATTTTATTGCTCCCATTGCAAACAAAAGCCAGACAGATGTTTCTGAGATTTTGACCAGTTAAAAAGGGGCTGTAGCTATTTTTATTTAATATATCTTATAGTTTCTATACTTACAGGACATGTCCCAGTATGTCAGTGCACATTATAAACTAAATCAAAGCAACACTTACTGGGCTCAGTCTCTTCATGTTTCAAATTGCTGATTTTGTGAATCTATCTTTGTATTTAATGGTCTGACTGTGTTCTCCTGCAGAAAACTGTTGTCTCCCCAAATCCGTTTAAAATCAAGATGAGGAACTCCCCCATCATCGAGAAACTGCAGGTCGGTGCAGCTCTGGAACATTTTGTGAAGGGAAATGAGAAACAAAACAACCACTGGCTTCACAGATGATGTTATTAGAGGGCGTAGAATGAAGTCAGGGGGTTTTTCTGATCAGGAGTTGGAGCTATTTAAAGCATTACTGCCCCCCACTGTCCAGTTCACTCTGGTGCGTGAGCTGCTCACATGTTGAAAAATAAAGGGGAAGGGCTTCTTGTCCCTGATGCCACCATCTGCCCAGATTAATGAGCTAATGGGATCACTCAGCTCGAACTCGCCACCATCGTTCCTTTAGTTAACGGTTCACACGGTGGGCAGCCATGGGACAAAAGGGCTGCCGCTTCTCCCTCTTCCTCTTCTCTCCGGTGCAGGTAGGACACTCGAATATAAACCTGAGCAGTGGTCGGGGGCCAACACAGGATTTGACGTAGCTCAGCTCTCAGACTGAAGGTTGAGAGCTGTTGTTTATGACACTTAAGAGGGAATTCCTGGACGTGACAGTGAGTTTTTAAAACAAGAAAGTGACAGGTACTAACAGAGCAACAAAGTCTGTATAAATGATACTTCTTTACACTTCTTTATTATTGCTCCTAATGATTATATTTGTCCCTATAAGTCCTCAGTTGAAGTCAACCTGATTACCTACTATTAAGTGCTATTCTTTTCAAGGTTGTTTACTCATAATAAAGTTTTATTCAAACATAATATCCTGAGGAGATTATAGTGCCCAGGCTCCAGCATCTTCTCTTCCCCCTTCAGGCCAACCTCGCCCTGTCACCCACTTCTCTCCTGCCTTCGCCCAAGAGCCCCGAGGTGAAGCTGCAGCCAGCGCCACTGTCCCCCACCCCACCCGGCAGCCCCCTGAGCCCCACGCTGCGGCCCTCACATCAGTCCAGCGAGGAGGAGGATCCCATCGGCTTCGACGGCCCTCCTGAAGGGGCCCCCCTGCAGAGCTTCAACAAGGTAAATACATGGACACAGCTGCACGACAGCTTGACAATATTTCTCTCCAGCAAAATCTTTTCAAATGCTTGTCGCTGTCCTGAGTCATTAAATGTGAGCTGCTGTCACATTGAGAGCGCATGAAGTGTTTTCTCGCACGATTCGCCAAATGCCCTGTGACATCACAGCCGGACACGTGGTCCTCGTACCCGTTTACGTGTTTCTCTGTGGGTGTCCGGCATCTTCTGTTTAAGCAGGCCTTAGATAAGCTGGTGCAAGACGCCACTGTAGTGCGTGAACGCTTCTGCAAGGGGGATTGAAGATGTAATCCCCTTAGCCTAGTTAAGAGTCCCTGTAGGTACCATTTTGTGCAGTGCTCTCACGCATATGCTAATTGGACTTGGACAGTGACCAGAAGCCTTTTAACAATTCAAATTAATTGATATTTAACATAACTGAAAATTGACACTCGCTTTGTCAAGTAAACATGAATTTTTAAAAGCTTTAAAAACTTTTTTCCATGCAGACTCGTGCACGACTATCATTCAAGAGACGCCCGCCCACGAGGCAGCACAGGAGGTCAGCAGGCGAGGAGGCGGGAGCCTTCGGGAGCGGCCTGTCCCAGTGTGACTTGTACAGCCCAGAAGAAAATGGGGACAGAGACCAGGTTTTCCACAGCCCAGCCGAGGAGGATGAATGTGGGCTACCGGGCAGCCTGGAAGAAGCTGAGGACATGGACTGTGCAAAGACAGAGAACAAGGTAGCAGGGAGTGACCCCGACAATGAGGGGGATCGTGAGGAGGAGCAGGAGGCACAACATGCCGAGGATTTGGAGGAGGAACAGCAACCTTCAGAGCTTCGCCCCCCTGGGCAGATAGAGGGCAGTGTTGAGAGAGTGGAGGAGAGGCGTCACCAAGAAAGAAATGATGAACTGTGACTGTTTACTGTAAGAGAGAGAAAACCAATGTGTGTATATGTATAAGTTATTCAGTGCTTTGATTAAGAGAAGTTCCCCTTCTTTTAAATGTCTGTTCTGTTTTTAAGTCCCTCTCCAGGCCGTGTATAGAACAGGTCTATAAACACTGGAGAGTAGTAAAGGAAGCAGCTCTGTCTCCACACATCACTGTCAATACTGTCCATGAACAGAAAAGACATTATCACATACTGAGGACTTTGTAAATACTGGTTAGCAAAAAGGAAGAATATATAGATTTATACTTATATAGATTTCATAGCAGATTATAAAATGTCCAGACTTCATTCAGAATCACTATCACTTCAGTTTGAAATTATATACTGCTTTATTTTCTTTTGATCAGTCTTTATCTCTGCTTGTGTCCTATTTTGTATACAACAAAATATTTAAATCACAATTTTACTGTGGAGCGACCAAGGACCTCAGAAGTTATATTCATAGAAATGTCAAGAAAATAAAAATATTCCTTCTCATGTAAAGAAAATGTATTTGTCATCATCTTTTTGGGTTTTGTTGAGTCATTACGGGTTAAAGTGTATATTTAAAAAGATCAGGTGAGGCAGATAAAAGCTAGGATTTTTTATCATTTATATTTTGTCGGCCTTTAAATTAAGAATTCGTATAATTGCAGAACTGCTTTTAGTGGTGAAATACACAAGCACCTCTGTCCCCTGTAAATGGTTATTTAAATCAGAATGCAGTTTGATTGAATGTTATTATTGTCAATAATAACCAGTAAAGTTTCAGTGTGTAAGATTTAGGTGAAAGGGATCTATTGGCAGAAATGGAATATAAAGTAAACCTAGTCATGTTTTTACCAGTGAGTTTCATCTAAAATGTACAATTTCTTGTTTTCTTTAACCCTAGAATGGAGCCTTTATGTTCAAATACAGTATATTTGCATTGGGAGCGCCTTCTCTCTACTAGGCTGCCATGTTTTATACAGTTACCCAAACTGGAAAAAACTTTGGAGTTTTTATGACAACTGAAGGCTACCACAGGTTCTCCAGCATGTTTGGAAGGGGAAGGAGAGGTGAAGGGTATTCAGCTGCAACATGCAACTTCACCACTAGATGTCATGAAAATCCACACCCTAAACCTTTAACTGTTGATTTCCAAATCCACCTTTGTTTATGTCCATTAACCCTTTTAACTGTAAAATTGTTGCTGTATCAACAGGACTAAAAATGGTTCTTTAGTACGAAGATATATATTTGGATGAAAGGTCGACAATAATGACTGAGTTTCGATCTGTGAACAAAATAACAGAAAGAGCGCTGAGTCGTCAAAGGCATCATAAAGGAATTAGTGGAATTTCCATACACAAAAAATGTCATTGTGCAAATATACCAAGCAAACAGCCACTGGCAGCCATTTATGAACCATCCACTTTGCCTGAGTCAATATTCAATAATAAAACCCTCCAGATGTTACCTGAGGGGGGGGGGGACAGAGACAGTTACAGTATTTAACATGTCAGTGGGTGAACGGAGAGCAAGTTTCGTTTCTAATCGCAGTCACGCCTGAGAAACAACAAACCGTAGTTGAGTCAAGTTCTTCTCCGGGACTTGACAACGCCTCCTGACGTCAGTGACAGAAACCTGGAGGACACACCTGGAGGAAGGGGACAAGTCGAGAAAACTTCCAGAAACTCTTTAACCTCACAGAGTCCGTGAACGTGTCCTCGCCGTCCTGCTGAGTGTTAAAGCCCGTTGGACCCGCAGCTGGGGCGTTTAGGTCCCGCGGACATTGTGGTTTCTCTTTAAAAAGTGTATCGCGTTGAAGACTTCCGGGTTTTGACTCCAGGCGTCTCCTCTGGGTGCAGACAAGACACACGGCAGCATGGACATCAACCTGCAGCCCCTGACCCAGAGGAACGGCCGCGAGGGAGCCTCATATACTGCTAATGAACAGGTGAGTTATAGATGTGTATATATATATATGTATATGTGAGAGTTATATCTATATTTCTGTATCTACCTATATTGGTGTGTTTATACTGTATATACATACTGTATATCTACATACACATACTGGCAGCCATATGTGGATTTTTACATATACTTATGTCATATTATTTATGGGTTAGAGAGAGAGAGAGAGAGAGAGAGAGAGTGTGTGTTTATGTGTGTGTGTGTGTGTGTGTACACTGTGGACTGTAGCCACCCATCCATTAAGGATCAAGGCTCCTCTGTCAAATGAATAATTCCTCCCATTAGTAAAGGAAAGTGAGAGTGAAAGTGTCTTTATGTCTCATCAGGATGTAGGTAATGGAGTCATGCTGCTCTCTGCTCATGCAGCAGAGGATGACATGAATGAAGGAACTCAACGCAACCACAGAGAGGTATGTTTGCAAGTTGCTGTTTCTTGAGCAGTTCCTCCTCTCGGGAATAAAGGATGTGTAACATCTCACTGTTATTTTCCCATCAGTCCAGTGCAACTCTGAATGACCTCTGTGGATACCCTGGTTTTCAGGAAATGTCCTGTAACTTTGAGTTGTGTGTCATTTCTCAAAAAGTGTCCCAATAACTTAACATCCAACTTGTACCTCCATTGATTGTAAACCATATTTTGACAAAACAATGTGATGTTTCTAGATTAGCGCCGCCTGCAGGATTCAGAGAGTGCTGGAAAAGAATGTCAAACCGTGGATGGTCATTGTCGCCATTCTTGTTCTCATCATTGCTGTGATAATTATTTCGCTTGTGGTCTGCTCAGGTAAAGTTTAATATCAACTGGTCTTTATAATGAGCGTGAGATAATGCTACGTGAACGAGCAGAATAAGAAGTCAAGTAAAAATATCCCAGTTTTGGCGTTTTCTCTCTGAGCAGCGATTCAAGAGGACGTGGACGACAACTTCGACCCGTCGTTGTTTGAGATTCCTCTGCAATTCAACGGGAGCTTCCAGCTGCCGAATATGGTCTTCACAGAGGAGCTTTTCATCTTCACCTCCAATAAAAGCAAAGTTCTGACAGCTGAGCTTCAAAAAAAGGTTTGGCCAATCACTTTATTCCTTGTATTTCCAATAACGTATTTATTAAAATCAGTTGCATATTCAGTGGGGACCAAGAGTCTGAGACCTTCTTAATTATTTAGTAGTAGTAGTATAATTAAGTGTATATTTGTATAAATATTATAGGATTGGAAGATTCTGCCTTAGACTTTTATTGCATCAGTTGTAACCCAGCTAGAACGCAGATATTAACATCGTGAATTACGAGTTTACTTGATGCAGACAGGAATTTCATTGCAGTTTTTCTGTTATTTAGTTTGAGGAAATTCTTAACATTCATGGTGATTTCTCAAAAAATGGAACTTGATTTTTTTTTTTAAATCAGCCATGCTCAGGGAACTAATACCTAAGAGTTTGTGCAATTTGGTGCAGTAAAATCTGGATCTTTAGTGACCTGAAATATGGTTTCATAAGGCCTTAGTAAAGGCATGTGCTCTACTGAGGGCCATAGTGGTTTAAATGTAAAAGAATAAGAATCTATAATGCTAAAGCACTGTAGTCGTATTTGTTTTTAAATAGTGAGAAAGCTACATAGCTGTCGGCTGAATATTATTTGTGTTTTACTGGAAGTGGAGGCTTGAAAAAACCCCATAGAGACTGAGAGTAATCCCTCGAGTTTATGTCTCACAGGGAATTTCAAATTGAAATCACCCTGCAGCAGAATGGAGATGTGAGAGAATTGAGAGCAGATGAGTATCAGCCAACTGTTTCTCACTCACTCTTTGTCTGCATGTCTCAACCTGCCGCACCCAGCTGGCTGACCTCTACGAAGCCTCCCCTGCTTTGGGACGATACTTTTCCAAAGCTGAGATCTATTCCTTACGGTAAAACACACGTCACCTCATCTACACGAAACAGCTGCATTCAGCCATTTATGGATTTGTGTGCACTTTAAAGGGACATATTCTGTTTTACTCTCCGCACAGTAACGGATCCATCATTGCTGACTACCAGCTGACATTTCTCATACCTGAGGAGCAGCATGATCAGCTGAGAAACTTTACCCTGAGCAGGGAGATGGTTTACAACGTGTTCAGACAGTTTCTATACGACCAAGAGTCAGAAGATTCTGCTCCCACGTACATTGATCCCCTTTCCTTAAACATGTTTGGACGACTGTGGTGACAAAACCTGCTCAAACAAACAACACTGGAGAACCAGAGGATCCTGTTTTCTTTGGGATTGAAGTGAGACGGTGTACCTCCGACAGCAATGTGGCAGCGTGTGATTTGTCAGACGTGCGTGTGACTTGTCCCACGAGTGTGTAGAAATCTTGCATGTAAATCATCTTCACAGGAAGCTACATGACCACAGTCACACAAACCCACGGGGTGTGTGGGTTTGTGTGGGTTTGTGTGCAGGTCATATGGATGATCTAATTTTGTGTAGGCTTTGAAGAATATCAATAATGAAATCAATCAAGGGTGCAGCCGTCGTAGAATAAAATTACATCATGAGGACATTGTATTTAAAATTGTATGATTATGTGTAACTGTGCCTTTTCTGACTGTATTCGTCTTAAGAGTATTGGTGAAAATATCAGGGTTGAAATGATTTATCTTAATCCCCAGATGATCACTTTAATGTCACATGTAATCATTAGTTCATAAGTGTTTGTCTAATCATATAAGTGTTAATATTTGCATGTCTGTGCCATACTTCTGCATCTGGATTTGCAAACTGAATGTGGAGAATTTGCCACATCATCAAACTCTGTATGATATCAGCTATAATGGGAAAATTGGTCAGTTATTTTAAGTGAAAGCTATACATGCCCATAGAAAACTGTTTATTATATACACAAAACATATACTTTGTGCAATATCTCACTTTTTCTTCATGTCAGAGACATTTTGTTTAGCTCATATGTATTTTCCATGATTGACCAGTAGGGGGGGTGCATTGCCCACATGTAGCAGTAACCGTTCACCTTTTATTTTATTTCTCACTTCTTTTATCTACGTGCAGAGAACTATCAATTATTTGAATTGATTATCTCTCCGGAACAGAATAAGTATTATTGTGTTGCAGATAAATTAGCTTTGCTGATATATATGTAGTTGACACATACTGTGTCAGTGTTTCCAGGTAGTGGTCATGTCAACATGTTTGTTTCTCTAATCATTAGAGTCTAATGGGATCTGCTGTGATGAATGTTTATGCCAAATTACCTGGTGATAGTCAGACGCTAAAGGTCATTATTAAGTCGACGAGACCTGATGAGCCGAGCCGAGCTTGAGCCCAAAAAAACCACTAATTGCCTATTATATCTATTTTTCATAGTAAGAAATCTGATGTAGTTTTAATGATTTGATTAAGATCAAATGTTTCTACTCCCGAAATAAAGAATGTTTTTTTAGATACAGTGTTTTTACTGTTAAAACTGCAGTTAATGTGAAGCTCAAGTTATTATAGTCATTCAGTTATTTTGAAATATGGTAGTCAATGATTTCTTATACAGCCAACTAAACAATCAAAAAACCAAGATATGGTGTATGAAGTTGTACAAAATTATGCTTGAATACAAGTTTTGGGGAATGTTTTATAGAAATAAATGACATTGTATGTAAAAACATGGTGTATCTCTCACTGTCTCTGACTGTTCTGACAAGACCATGAATTAATAATTGCAAGGAAATATTATTAATTCTAATTAATACTGTGTATAGCTTTTTTTCCTGCTGCATGGGCCACATCTCCTTCTTGTCAGAAAAGAGGAGATATATTTTTCACATGCCGTTCCCAAATGTCCTGGTTGCATGATCGTCACATGCTGATCAATAGGTCAAGTTTAAACAGCAGCCCATCAGAGCAATCCAAGAGGTTTCTAAAGTTTATTATTGTACATAAAACCCAAAGCACTCCACCTGCTCTTTGAAACCTGCAAACATTGCAAATGCGACGTCTAGAGAAAACAAACCTGCACGTTTCTGCTCTGACTTTCTGACTTTATTGATTCAGCTTCAGTTGACTTTAGCCGCTCCTCACTGTATTTTCTGTATTTGTCCTGGTTTTTTTCTGCATGCAGGCGTCTATCTCTTTTCAGTTAAAGTAAACAATTCTCTTAATCTGTTGGCAGCGCTGAGGGTTCATGTGCTATGGCCTAACTCTATACCAGCGTGCATTCTGGGTGTGCATGGTAGAAACTGGCAGCCTGTGCTGTCTGTAGTGGCCCGTGGTGCATCTCCTCAGCCCTATTTTGAGAACTGTTAATCTTCTAAAGGCAGATTTACTATAACAAGCGCTCTGAGCTTTGATAGCCTGCTTGGCTTAAACAGCGGTCGCTACTCTGAAACTCATGTCACACACATGATCCCTGAGATCAGTCATGTAGAGCCACACTTAGGTCAACAATGGGTCAACAACGCCGTTAAAACAGCCATTGTGAGAAGATTTTACGATGATCTCATGGACTCAGGCTGAGTACATCCAATCACTGTGCACCGAATTGTTCACACTCGATATCAGTTCCCTAAATATGTCCGGTTTTCCCCTCATCAAGATCCATGAATTATTCCCAAAGGAAATTAGTTCAAGAATTTCCTCATAATAAGTCTCTATATCGAATTGTGAACTACACATCTATTTAGAATGTATAATTATACTATCTGACATTAATCAATGGATGATTGATCCTTTATTAATGTTTCAGAGAGCAGGGAGAATCTACTATCACACAATATCATGTCCTGTTTAACCTAAGACAAGAAAACATAACAGCCATAATGATCTTAATATATTTTATTGATATAGGAGGTGGTAATAATGGTTGCATGTCATCAGGACTCAGATGATGGTGTGTGCACACTTTTAAAGGAATGAGGTGATATTAAGTTGTGTTGGATTATTAAACATGATTTTTTTCATCAAGATCCTTGAATTATTCTCTTAGAAATCAAGGAAAATGTTGAAAAATCTCACAATGGTAAACAAAGTGATCCTGGATCTGCACCAAACTTTAATGGGTTCCTTCCTTCCACCAGACTTCTTGATAATCCGCTCAGTAGTTTCCTGCGTAATCCTGCAAATTAAAAGACAAACAAACAAATACATGCAGATGGAAACCTCCTTGGTTGAGGTAATAAATATAATGAACAAAATCAAATATAACCACATCATACCAACCCCCCAAATAAACACCCCACACACTCACAGCTGCACCCCAGCATCAATGCAGCAATGATGTAAACCCTTTAAGAGTTGACCTGAGTACCAGCAGAGGCCTTTTCACTCTTGACCTGTTAGTACTGATTAATATTTATTATATCTATTTATTAGGAAGTCATTACTTTTATCAAGTGTTATAATTAAATGTTTTATTTATTGCATCTTTGTAAAGTATAAGTCATTCTTTTAACAGACGCACAGCACAAAATTTAAAAATCACAATTAGCAGCTTGTGAAAAGCAAATGTACATGTTTCTCCTGTTTATATAATTTAGTACTACTACTACAATGTGTGTGACTATATTTATCATTGCAGGCCCAGTTTCTAAAGAGGATAAGTCAGTCCCAAGAGGAACTCCCTTGGTTAATTCTCGTAGAATCCCCGGAGGTGTGCGGTAACCCTTTGTGAGTGGGCACACTACGACTATACATGATGTATTTGGGAATACAAAAAAAACAATAATTGTAGCAATTAATTAAAAAGTTAATAACTAGTAAAAAATGTATTAATGCAAGTTTTTCCCCCAACTCAATGCATATGTGGACCATTAAGACAAGTCCATGAACTAAATTCAGCATTGAGACTTAAGAGTTCAGGCCTTCAAGGAAATTTCTGTGTATTTGAGTCCTAACTCCCCGGATATTGGTATCCAACCCTCCTCAGTCTTCAGTACCAACAGCATGCAATGTTCCGAGCTTCTAGGAAGACTCTGCAGTTATCGCATTAAGGGTTATATCTGCTCTGGGCCGTCCCAAAGACTTAAGGATTAAGGCGGTCCTTGCATGAGGCATCAGTCAGACCTCAGTGCTGTCAGTGCTCTGCACGATCGTCGTCCTGCGTGCATCAGCCTCACCACCAGTGCTCTGCAGGATTCTGGACATAGAGACAAAACATCCACTTACAATGGGAGGCTACTGCTCAAACCTGGATGATATACTGGAGGAGGACATGCACCACTGGTACACCAAGTTCATGAAGGAGTCTCCATCCGGGCTCATCACGCTCTTCGAGCTCAAGACGATGCTTGAAATGAACGGGATGACGGAGGAGGCCAGCAGCTACGTGGATCAGGTCTTCTTCACCTTCGACATGGACGGGGTAAGAAAACACCTGAGAGGCATTTCTTCTGCTCTGCCCAGGGGGAATAAATGGATTGTGGGTGATTCACTTAAAAGATCGATTGGTTTTTCACCTGAAGAGACAGTTGCTGAGTGAAATCCTCTTGCATGCACCTTGTGGAAGAAATCATTATTATTCCTGTGTTATTAAATGGTTTGAGATGGTGATGGTTTAATTTTGAAAGGATCATCAGAGATTACAGAGATTTGTGACATTTTAAGAGACATCATCTGAGGTTAAACTCTGCTCTGTGAGTCCTGACATCCTTGACAAAGCTTAGCACGACATGTCAACTATGTACATAAATAAGCATTATGGGTAATAAACATTACCCATAATGGAATGCAATAGTTTCCTCAGAATTGTATTACATCTACAGCCTCTGCATTTAATGATCATATGCAAAATTGATAAAATACTGATTTAAAAAAATCCTAATTGCAAGAATAAACAATTTGGATGTTGCAGTACATGTACAAGGATATATATATTATATAATATCTGTGTTGCTTTCACTAACTGAATCTTTATTTTGTTCTACTGCAGGACGGCTACATTGACTTTGTCGAATACATCGCAGCCATAAGCTTGTTACTGAAAGGAGAAATCAACCAGAAACTAAAATGGTACTTCAAGCTGTTTGACCAAGATGGAAACGGGAAAATTGACAAAGAGGAGCTGGAGACTATATTCAAGGTGCAGTCGATTTTTCTGTGAATGTTTCATAACCAATCAGTCTCAGGAGAGACGGGTTAGCTGCCGGCTTACGCCTCCCTGAATTGTGCAGATTAGCTGCTCTACTGCGAAAGAGGAGAAATGAGGTTAACCTGCCATGAACGAGACATGACACCTAATCCAGTGGGCTTCTTATCTAAGTCTAAATATGGCCTCGACTATAACCTAATTCACAGTTTAAAGATATCACACAGCCATAACCCTACAGAGTACATGATGCAATTTCAGTAAAATCATGAACCACTTATCTTTTAAAGGTCCAGTGTGTAAGATTTAAGTGAAAGGGATTTTTGGGTAGAAATTTAATATAAAATAATCCTGTTTTCACTGGTGTTCCATCTAAATTGTATGAATTGTTGTTTTCTTTACCGTAGAATGGGCTCTTTATATTCAAATACTTTATATTTACATGGGGCTCCTCTCTGTGGAGGGTTAGGTGAGGGGTATTCACCCGCAACATGCAACTTTACCACTAGATGTCATTAAATTCTACACAATGAACCTTTAAGGCTAAATGCTGTATCATCATGTCATAGGTGATGAAGTGAAGTGAATGGAAGCAGACACATCATCATATTAAGTGTTTAAGCCTCTGTGTGTATCCGTGTGTCTAACAATTAACTGTAAACTCTTCTCACAGGCAATTCAAGACATCACCAGGAGCTACGACGTCCCCCCAGAGGAGATTGTGACGCTTATATACGAGAAAATTGACGTCAATGGAGAAGGTAACAAATATTATCAATCCAACAATTACACAACAATTTATAACCCTAGTGTCTTTGGTTGCAACTCATGTCACCATGGCAACACAGTATGTGTCCAGAGGCTCCAGGTTTTCAGAGTAAAATATTGAATAATAGGAAATAAAGGAGGTTATGTTTTCCTCTGCATTTGTTTGTCTGTTAGTTAGAAGGGTTGCGAAAAAAATGCTTAACAGTTTTCCACGAAACTTAGTGGATGGAAGTGGGTCAGTGAAGAAATCACTCAATTATGGTGTGGATCTGAAACAGGTGGCAGATCCAAGATTGTTTTCCCCCACTGTGGTTTGAAATGTTTTAATCAGGCATATTTAGGATATCTATGAGTTGAACTCTTCTTTTGTCAATCTAATTAAGCAAAAGAAAAAATCTGTTGTATGCCACACTTTAACATTTGGAAATCGTTTGTCATGATTGTTTGAATTCATGGAAGAAATACACCAACTATTAGAAACAGCATTATAAAAGATAAGACTTTATTTATCCCAAAGGGAATTCTTGTGCACAATTTTAAATAAAGTGTATACGAAGTAAATGCAAAACCAATAGAAATAACAATTAAACATGTAATTTTAAGTGAGACAGTAAACTTACACTAAATTAAATTGGCTATAAGTATTAATGCTTAAAGGAATAAGCAATATGGATTATTGCACATGATTTCAATTCACTAAATTGCACACACTGCAGTGAATAAAGATATCAGTCCCATAAACATCTGACTTGATTCTCTTGGAAATCAATGAAAATGTAGAAAAATGCTCATCGGACACATTGAGGAGACTAGTGCCGATGAGTAAATTACATTTTGTTGAATTTAAAGTGATTTTGGGCCTTGGCAGAGGTATCCGCTGTTATGAGATTCAATAAAGTCCCCTGACAGTGTCTTTGGTTGCAAATATTGTCACCATGACAACCCAGTAATATCCAAATGCTCCTGGTTTTCAGAGTAAAACACTGTACTAATAGGACATTAGGTTTAAATGGACATTTTGATGATTTACAATATATTTGATAATATTTAAATTCCGAAATGCTCATATTTGCTGCTGTCCGGTGTCCACAGGTGAGCTGACTCTGGAGGAGTTCATCAGCGGAGCGAGGGAGCATCCCGACATCATGGACATGCTCGGCAAGATGATGGATCTCACCAACGTCTTGGAAATCATAATCAACGGTCAGCAGAAGAAAGATGTGAACTGAAGCCATGGCCAACCAGCTGGACTGTGTTGGAGAATGGAGACTGTTCTTTCAGGTGGACTTTGAGGAAAGAGTGTTTGTGCTTGACGAAGAGCCAAGTCCCATCTCAGACTACACAGAATGAAATAAATGAACTGACAGAGCAGCTCCACGCAGATATGATCCCTCTGTAAGCTGGCCGAGGGACGAAGGGATTTATTTGTCCTCTCTCTGCTGCTTGTGCTCTCACCCTCCAGATTTGTTAAGGTTGTATCAGATCGTGTGTTTGGGGAGTCTCAGTGAAGACCGACCCGACTGCTTGCAAGTTCCCATCATGCTTCAAGTAGCTGGTGCAAGGCAGGTGGATAAATCCCTTTGATTTATGAAGCTGAAGCTGGTGTTTGCTGAACCATCAAGATGAGTGCAGTCAGTACCAGAATGTCTTGGGCAGCTTTAGGATCAGTTTTTATAATTTAACATCAGAAAAGTTTATATTTGAACATATTGCATTCACCTTTCAATTCTCTTCTTCCTGTTGAAGAAAAGTGTGAAACTAAGCGAGACCTATTGATAAAACTTCTTCAAAGAACCGTGGGAACGTCCTATGCCAATCAATGACATAACTACTGTATTTGGCGTTGTGTCGTTAACATCTAAAACACTCACTGAAATAGTTTGTTCTTTTACACTGAGTGGCTCTTGCATAAAAATTACACTTTCAGATGTTTAAAAAGGTCGATTGTAACTGAACGTATATATAGACACTGAATGTTGATGAAATGCAATGTTTCATATAAATTTTGCTGCACTTAAGGTTACATTGTTGCCTTAAAAATCAATACAGTGGATAGTTTTTTCTTTAAAAGAGTTTGTTTTTGTGTCTTCATCCGTGGCTTTAGTTTACAGAACATATGAAATTGTCATGCACATGTACAGGAGCTAAAAGTGGAGGCAATATTTAACAATAAGGAAAGGGAAATTCATAAGGGGCATAAACAAATCACAGTATCTCATGAAAAATCGTGTCAATCATTAACTGAAGAATTCACTTCAAGACACCATGACAATGAAAGAGCTCAAGGGCGCCATCTAGTGCCTTCAAGGTCTCAAGTGGTGCAAGTGAGATGTTCTGAAAACAGTTGGACGTCCAAATTTTCATCTCAAATATTTCCAGGCTTTTATAGGCGACGTCCCTCATTTAATACAATTTATCAACATATTGTGAAAATATAAGAACATGCCTCAATAAGCTTTGTCCTGTTGAACAGGTCATTGTCAGCAGGATTTGTAACTTTTAGGGCAGTTTAGAAAATCTGCCCAAATGTATAAGATCAGTTTAAAAAACAAATTCTCTATCTTAAAGTATAAACTGGTCTTAAACGTAAAATGAAATTTCAGAAATTAAAACTATTCTGAACTAGTCTGCTGACAGACCGAGAGTCTGCAGCATTTTCATTTGTGTCACAAAATACCAGAGCTTGTCGCACACACGAAAGAACATTAGGATCGGAAACCATTTGGTTTAGAGACGAATCAGGCCCACAATAAAAAAAAAAGACTGCTCCTACGCCTACTTCCAGCTATTTTATCCAGTGTCAGCTGGCCTTAGTTTATATATATGTATATTTAAGATTGAATTTAAAGATTTTGCTTGAAATTCAATCCTGTAAATCTAAAAACGGCTGATCTGTCCTGGTCTTTATTTCAAACTTTGATACCCCTCAGCCCATGTTTAACCCTATACCAATAACCATAAAACCATGTTATCCGTCCATACTCAGGTCAGCCAACCTCGGTGGCCTGCGTGGTTAATCATTCGACAGAGGATTTTGTTGGTGCAAACTGGTGAGACATTGTTATGAAGGTTGTGTAAATCAAATAGAGATAAGAGTTTGACTCCACATAGCACCCAGTGCGCAAATGTATCGGACGATGCTTTTACATAACAGCAGTGATCAACCCACCAGCACTCATCGTATAAATTCACCAATAACCCACATGGCTTTGCACTGCACCCTGCTTCATGCTGTCTGCCACCACAGCACAGGAACATCCAGGACACATCCAATCTGAACCATGCAGTCTGCCGAAGTCAAATTCAACAAGAACAGCCTACTCTTGGCTCTGAGAAGATACAGCTCAGCCGTCAGCGACATGGAGCAGACCATCCTGCTGCCGAGTCTGCTCCGAGACGTGCCCTCCGACCAGGTGTGGGAAGAGGCGGAGGAGTCATGCGGTGATCTGTACAGAAACTACCTGATGCTCAAAACCATCAGAAACGCAGTGGAGAGCGGCCTGTTTCACCTGGGGGAGCCAGAGAACAGCACCCTGGAGCCTCTATTGGAAGCAGATCCCGAAGCCCTGTTCCGCTTCCACCTGAGCGGGCTGTTTTCTGTGATGAGCGACCTCACCAAGAAGTCTCAGAGCCTAACTGAGAAGTACATGGACATCATTGGAGTGGCGAATTAGAAAACAAGTGTCAGATACGTGGACATTAAACAAAAGATCAGGTGTTTGTAGAAGTGTTGTCTATGGAGCAGTCACTCACACATCTCTGAACTGTTTATATTCAGTGACCCCATGTTTATAACTTGTGTAATACTTGTGCATGCATCGCCCAAACTCAAAATTGATGTCTCCTCATTTGCAAAACTCAATTGAAACTATGATTTGAAGATATGTCAAAACATTCTGACTGATTAAATGATCATGAATAACCAACAATGTCCTCAGCTTCAATTGTGTCCAAAAATGGAACCTGGAATTGTGTTTGTTGTTTCGACTAATTCCAAGAAAATATCAGTCAGAGAATAATGAATTTGTAAATTTTTTTTTATTTACATAGCTATATCTCGCACAATAATAATTTCACAAAAAGACCACTGAAGACAGATAGTGGTCCACAGATGTTCTCTCCCCCTCCGACAACACTTAGCGCACAGGATGGAAAGGCTCCACGATCTCTGCAAAGGTTTTTCTCTCTGGTGACAAAAAAGAAAAGAAGAAAATGGTTTGTTTACACACAAACGAGCCTCCAGTTTTAAAATTCTCTCTGTGTAGATTAACAAATGTCCCACTGCACTTCATACACTACAGAAATCCTGGTACAAATGGACTCATACTTTTAGACCCTGATATTGACTATGTTTGAAGATAATGTACAATAGGGCAAAACTCAATAAAAATATAAAATAACATAAATAATAAAATTTAATTGAGATATGGGGGGTGTGAAAATAGGTGATGTGGCGATTGTTGTGTGAGATACACACAATAAAACCAACACTGTGCTGCCAACTTTAAACTATCGTCTCCTGTGTATTCGATCTACAAATAATGTCTCATATGTTCACTTATATAAAATCCCTGATGTCTAATATGAAGAATGATGACACATTGCAAAATGTAATCAGAAAACACATGAAACGCACTTCATACAAGAAAATATGACTCACCTTTTGCTGCAAATTCCTCTGGATGCAGCCTGACATACTCGTTCATGTCTCGATCAAGTCTGGCATACGTGTAGTTTTCATACTTTGTGATGTGGTAGCCAATGAACCAGCCAATTGTCGCCAGCAGGACCTGTCGATGAACTCCTAAATAAAAGGAGAAATAGCACAGATGGGATTGTGGTTAAAGCAACACGCACCATGACAATGCTATTTACACAATACCATGTGTGAATAATGCACAATACCAATATATATATTGATATGTTGCTTGTGCATTGAGTCAGCCCAGTGAGGAAGATTAACATACGATTGATCTACGACAGAATTGTAAAATATTGTTTATCAAGTCTTACTCTGCCCATAAAGAAGAGTTTAAAACCACAACCTTTACACAGGCTCAAAGATTTGTCTTAAAACTCCTGTGTATGACGCCTGTCCATACCTGGTTCTAGGCTTCATTAGTTTTTTAATTGCCTTTTTTTTTTTTTTTACATAATATTTAGCTGCATGGTCCATGCCTGCTCTCCTTTCGTTTTCTCATCAGGAACAACAGGCTTGTGACTTATCTTTCCGAAATAACCAGGAACAAATGTCAAACTCTTTCATTTAGTTTTTTTAAATAAACATGAATCCATCATGTTCGTCAGACGCTCAAACATTCAGTAGCCCTGACTCAAACTGTCATCCGAATTGTACGTATTTTTCTAAAGCTAAACGTTAAAGCGATAAATGCATAAACACAGCATAAAGTCATATAGACATTTATAAAAGCTATAAAGACTACAAGACAGATCCTGAAGATTTTTTAAAAATGGGTTTATTATCTATGTGTGTTTTCTATGATTATTATTCTGTGCAATGTATTAGATCATTCATTGTTTTGTGTGTTGTAAGTGTTTTAATATAAGACGAGGGAAATCTGGATAAACACACATGTAAATGTAATAACAGAATAACAACAGGTTCTAAAGTCAGTTTTTGTTGGTGATCTTTTCAGCGTTATATCCTTTTAGTGTTTCATCTTATTAAGTGTTTTAAGGAAAGGTCCACTTTTATTCTGGGGCTCCCACGATGTGTCCTTGTGTGCTGTTTCTTGTGGTTTGTTCTGCAGCTGCTGTAGCACTGTGACCCATGAAACATTTGACGATGAGGACAATAAAGTCAATTGAATCTGAACATAACAAGCTGATACAACAAACTACAGCTCTTTGTCATCAGCACCACGTCAGAGAAGGTTTTAGACATTTTCCAGGTTTAACGTTTCAGCTCTGCGGACGTGACAAGAGTCTGAAAGCTAACTAGCAAACATGCTAACCTGATTTTAGCGGCGGCCTGTGGTTGATCGCATTTTGGAGCATGGCGGAGCACCAGCCGACCCCGGCGAGCCACACCGAGGTCCTGTTAGCGATCCCCGGGGGAGGGAGACACTTCGCCTCGTCCGGTACGAATCCCATGGCGAGAAAATGTCCCCACGGTGCAGATTTCTAAGTGACCTCCCGGTAGATGCTTCCACCGATCAGCTATATCCTCCCGTAGGAAGTCAAGGGCACGATGTGCAGCCGCGACGAGACTCCGGGAGGAAACATTTCAAAACCCGTCGGTTCCGGGTTCTCTGCTTCCTAGCAACCAACGACACAGGACAAAACCTTGAAATGTGATTTTTAGATTAATACTTTTTAATTTATCTGTCAGACAACATACATGAAACATGTTAAAGTTAATATTTACCAATGTGAGTTTATATATTATTGAGTGCACGTCCTGTTTACAAAAAAATGCTTATTATATTATAATGTTTATTATATATATATATTTATGAAATGATGATAAGATAATCTTTTACTAGTCCCACAATGGGGAAATTTGCGTTATTACAACAGCAATAGTCAAAAATAGGCATCAGTAAGTGATGCTAAGTAAGTAATATGCAATACTTAAGTGTAAGGGACATATAAAATATGAATGTATTAAAACTAACATATACAGTGTAAAAACAAGAGAAATATGTGCAGTGTGAGAATATGTACAGTGAATAAATTGCACATGAACCATTGTGTTGCACAGACAGATGCATATTGCACAGTTAAACACAAAGTTACAGTTCAGTCCATAATGGGTGAATGTAGTTCTAATAATAATAACAATAATAATACATGTATTTATATAGCACTTATCTAAACAAGGTTATAAAGTGCTTCACAAAAATCCAAGGCTAAAAATAAATTAACTAAAATAAAAGGTATTCAATTCAGTTACATTTTAAGCACCAAATCAAAACATAATAAGTTCAAGACCTTCAAATGTACTGTGAAACCCAACCGTTCCCATAATTAAAATATGATGTGTCAAATATTTCTAATTATATAGAATTATATAAACCCAGTGAAATTACAACAGTTTGTGTTTGGGTCAGGTTTAACATCTTAACAATACTGCAATAATACTGATAACTTTATAACCGTGATACTAAATGCTTAATCTTTATTACAAGCCAAGTCCTATTAGATGTAAGGTGATTCAGAGTCAGACATGTGAACTGGTTCACGCTGATGTGGATTAAATGTAGTTGGCATGTGAGCAGATGACATCATTGAGAACAGTCCTCCTCCTCCTCCTCCTCAGCCACAGGAACAACTATGCTCTTCCCATCAGTGGCTCTCCCCGTTTCCTGAGCCGGATCTATGCATACCTAGTGCTTTAAAGTCCGGGGACATCCCCGTGTTTTGGGGGTAAGTGCAAACTCTTGTCATACACCTACAAACCTGACTTTATGTTTTTTTTTTTATCCTCCTTCTCCCTCCTGCTCCTGCAGATTGAGCCAAAATGGCTCCAGCCGCACGGTAGCTGCTAGTAGCTACTGTTGCTAGCGTCGCCTTTATAAAGACTCCCAACTCAGAGGATAACGAAGGAACGCGATGATTAATCAGCCACGTTACCTCCAGACTGAGTCCGAGCGGGATGCGAACGATTAACATTTCATCAGAAAACAAGATGGAAGGAAAATGCGACACCGGGGAAATGATCATTTATATTCACATGCCAATGATTCCAGCTGAATTCCACCCTGAAATAATGTTCAGTGGCTCATGAGGAGATTTTTACTTCAGTCCTGCAGGGTCTGATTCAGTCTTTTGCAGAAATACTTAGTTTTCTCACGTACAGGCCCCAATTCACGATGCTGCGGACGGTCACTGCGGAGAAGAATGAACCTGCATGTTGTTTTTCATGTCTACATGAACCTGTCCTGTATATAGTTTTTTCCTTTTCGATGAACCTGCATGTTGTTTTTCCTGTTTACATTAACCTGCATGTTGTTTTTCCTGTTTACATTAACCTGCATGTTGTTTTTCCTGTTTACATTAACCTGTATATTGTTTTTTTTCTGTTTACATTAACCTGCATATTGTTTTTCCCTGTTCACATTAATATACACCTGTATATTGTTTTTTCCTGTTTACATTAACCTGCATGTTGTATTTCCTGTTTACATTAACCTGCATGTTGTATTTCCTGTTTACATTAACCTGCATGTTGTTTTCCCTGTTTACATTAACCTGTTTATTGTTTTTTCCTGTTTACATGTTGATGCTGTGTGGTGTTACAGATGCTTTGTTTTCATTGTGATATAAGATTTTTCTTCTTCCTGCCTTATTTTTAATTCATGCAGTGTGTAAAAGTATAATATTCGTTGAAATCAATAAGATAATAAACCGTGATGCACGGCCCTTTGTAACTGCAGCCAAGCAAAAACATTAAGAATCTAACAAAACATGCACAAACATCATCTGATGGGGAAAAAAAAGGGGAAGTATTGGTAAAGTATTAGTGAAGTGCATTTTCTGATCTCTTTCCTGTTTCTCCTTTTTTTTCTCTCCACAGTTTAGCATGAGCATGGAAGATTATGACTACCTGTTCAAGATAGTCCTGATAGGAAATGCTGGAGTTGGAAAGACATGTCTTGTCCGGCGCTTTACTCAGGTTTGTATCTGTCTGGGCTAACGAGTTATCACACAGTGTATCGCAGTACAGTGAAATAAAATATCTAATCTCATTTTAGGGCCTTTTCCCACCTGGACAAGGGGCTACTATCGGAGTAGATTTCATGATTAAAACCGTGGAAATCAAAGGGGAGAAGGTCAAGGTATACAAAGATCAAACTCATGTTATGTTATACAAACGTATGTACCTGTACGATTTGAGTTGCTCATTTCAAATATCTGTTTTGCAGCTGCAGATATGGGACACAGCTGGACAGGAGAGATTTCGCTCCATCACTCAGAGTTATTACCGTAGTGCCAATGCCCTCATTCTCACGTATGACATTACCTGTGAGGACTCCTTCAGGTGCCTTCCAGAGTGGCTGAGGGAGATTGAGCAGTATGCCAACAACCAAGTGGTGACTATATTAGTCGGTAAGAAAACTTTATACATCGTGTTTGTGATGAGAAAACTGAATAATTGCACACACTATTTTACTGGAGCTCACCTGGTTTTCTGAGTAGGGTTGGGTATCATTTGGGGTTTTTCTGATACTGGTGCTAATTCAATATTTTTAAAACGGTTCTGGAGCCAGAACCAATACTTCCAATGGCAGTTGATAATAAGAAGGTGTTTTATATTTCTAAGGCAAACTGGAAGTTGAAATCTAACACATTAACTGTTGACAAGTAAACTTTCAAGTTAACTAAACTTAAATATACAAATATGAATAAGTGCAAAACCCATGAAGACTTTCCTTAACAAAATCACAGAATAAATATAATCAAACCCATCTACTATAATTTACCACTCAATATGAATTTCAGTGCTTAATACAGCAAAATACTCCAAACTCGTAATCAGCTGCCTCCCTTGTCATTCTGTTTGTTATGTTCCGTCTTTACACAGAATTGATTTCAAACATTTGCTTCACGTGTCGGAATCCTTTTGTGTAAAAATGAGCCACACTCGATCTTAAGAATTTAATTGTAGTGTCGACTCGCGTTTGAGGAAGCTACTAGATAACTGTAGGCCAACGTTACGTGCTGCCAGAGCTATGAAGAGAGTGTGTTGCCACCAGAGTTAAATGTGATGTTAACTTGGCACGTGACGTTACCTGTAAGAAGGGAAGGTACATCAGTACAGAGGTCAGGCACCGAAATCTGCATTGAACATGAACTACTGAGCAGATATCAGCAGCAGTTTCTCAGTGGATTTGTAAAAGCCCTCATTTATATTTTTGCTTATGTACATTTTATTGTGATGTTTGTGAATTTTTGTACGCTCCATCTGCCTCATCCACACCCACCCACCCACCACTGTTCAGAAAGTATCTTCTCTATCTGTGTCTTCTTATGTAATTTGACAGATCAATATTAATGCGTTACAGGTAATAAAATAGACCTGGCAGAAAAGAGGGAGGTTCTCAGACAGAGGGCTGAAGATTTCGCTGAGGCCCAGAGCATGCTGTATCTGGAGACCTCAGCCAAAGAGTCCGACAACGTCGAGAAACTGTTCCTCGACCTGGCCTGCGAACTCATCCGAGAAGCCAAGCAGAACAAGCTGGATAACAATGACACTGCCCCGATGCCCGGCGAGGGTAAAACCATCAGTTACTTGAGCTGCTGCAGCCTCAATTAGACAGAGCTCCAGCCCGAGCTTCTGGACGTGCTAACTCAGTAGCCATTGACTGTAGAGAGCAAATGGCTGAGCCCCTATGCCTCCGTCCCTCTAAGATGGCACAAAGCCTCTGATTTCTCTCATTTCTAGTCCCATGCCTTTTTAAAGCTGTACAAGGGAGTCTGTCAACTTTAGTTTGGCCTTCCAGGAGCATTTTAAGATGTTGCCATTATGGAGAACATTATACTCAGTGCAACAGGGTGTAATGTTTTTCTGCCTGATGCATCCAAGAATCTGAGTAGGGCTCAATTTTGTCCTCTTCATGCTGAAATGGCAGAACTCTCCTTTTTGGATTTTAAGCTCCATTGTCATTAAATATTCACCAGCAGTATTATGTGAGTGAAAAAGCTCGACCAGGTATTTTGTTACAGATTCATCCAAGCTGACAAAAAGCTTCATGATCATTGGAGGTTCATGGTAACAGTATGTTTACACACGGTATGTTTTTAAGATGACTAAGTCCGATCAACGTTTCCTGAAATCACTTGTACAATCTTTACAAATTATTTTCCACTCCGGTTCCTTCAGCTCTGAGAATTGCATAAAATGTTATTAATTTGTCATAATCTCATTTCTGTGTAGTTATTTGCACCTGTCATTACAAACTGTGAAATATTTGTTTCCAGTAGATTTTTACTTGCTGCTAAAATATGTTTTTATGTCGGATAACATGAATTTAAACGCGTAGAGATGCTACATTGAAACAGTGACATTATTTTTTTGTGCTTACAGTTAGTTGATTTAGTGTGAAGCAAGTGGGACGGCCCCTGAAATTATGAACAGTTTATCATTTGACATAGTTTTTGACCATCAGCTGTTACTTTAACCATAGCCGTGAATATTTCTGCCTAGATGTTGCTGCCTAGCCATGAAATTGTAAGACTTCATTTATTTTGAAGCCGTTTGTCCATGTAGTTTCAAATGACTCGTTGTTCTTCATATGCTTTTATTGTGAAATGTGTCCAGCATGTTTTGCCATAATTTGTAGTGTCTAACTTTATCTTTCATATATTTGCCATACCTGTAATGTACTGTATTGCACAATGCCATTTACTGCACACATTTTTGTTGTAACACTTAGTTTTTTTTGTACAGACTTGTAGTACATCTCAGCACTTTGCTTTTATACCTTTTATTTTCAGTAATCCCTGTGTACAATTGAGGAGAATTGTTTTGTTTTGCCTTGTTACAGCAGTTACTTACTGTTAATTCCTTGCATCCCCTTGTCAACACAGTATGGGAAATACAAAGGAAACCACTATTGGGATATTGTGCTTCTTTTTCCTTTATATGTACCAAATAATCTAAAAAAAAACTCTGTACATTAACATTAAATACTTACAATGCATGTTTTGTACTTGTGTCTCTGCATTTTATTGAAGATTTATTTATTTAACGTGATAACATTTCCATTATTTTTTTTAATAAAACTAATATATAGTTGCATTTTTATTCCAAGGTTAAGAAAGAGATAAACGTGGTGATATTTCCTGTACATTTTCCAAATAAAACTAATATAAACATTATCTTTGCCATGGTAAAGGCAGTGATGGACACTTCTGCTATAGTTTCAAAATAAAACTCCCTATATAGAAATGAGTGTATGGTTCACTGTCATAGACTGTATATAAAGAGGTCGCTGTACATTGATTATACTGTATATTATATATATTATATTTCCCAGATTTAAATTGTATTTTCAGGCCAAGACAGAGATAAACGCGATAACATTTCAGGTATACTTTCTTATATAGAAATAAGTGTATTCGGGTGCTGTATAGAGATCAGAATCAGAATCAGAATTCCTTTATTGTCCCAAGATTGGGGAATTAACAGCATTGCAACAGCAAGATTATCAACAAGCATGAAAAATGAAGAATCTAGAGTCAAGATAAGTTAAACAAGATAAATTACTATGTACAAATTGCACTAAGATTCTACACATGACCAACAATCTCCATATTTAAAGATTTAAAAATGAGCATTACATGCCAAAGATAAACGCGATGACACTTCCGGTTTACACTCGAAGGTGTCCTCACGTGTGGAACTCAGACTCCCGTCATCCCTTGCGAGTGTGACTGTCCTACAGGAAGTGTCTTTGTTTTGACCACTCACCGCCTCCAGCTGAACTCGAACACGTGAACATGTCAACGGGTGTTTCCTGACGAGCAAGCCGCCGACCTGCTGCAGAGTCCCGGGTCAGAGCCGGACGACCCCTCGGTGGTGGCTCCGCTGTCACTTCCGGCCTGTGACGGGTCTCGTCCTCCTGCAGCTCAGGGGGAAGAAGAGCCCATGTTGTCAGAGTCAGTGTGGGCTGCGAGCGTGTGACAGGCTGGAGATGATGGAGGGCGCAGGCTGGAGGACGCAGGTTCGGCTCAGAGCCGCTGCTGTCTGCGTCCTGACGCTGTGTTTTGGTTCCTTACAAGTGATCGCCCTCAAGTCCCAACTTTTCACCAGGCTGGGTGGGTTCCCCCCCCCCTCAGAGACCCCCATCAACTACAGGACTCTTTACTTTGACCAGAGGGTGAGTTCAGTTCTTTTTAACTAACCATTTGTGTGGCAGATGTGCCAGTAACCTCTGGTTCCTTGTTCCTCTTTCACTTCCCTTTGAAACTTCCAGTTCCAGTATTTGACTTGAAGCATCTGCTTATGTAAAACAATAATACTGATGAGACTAGTGTTATAGTGATAATATGACATTTTAATAGAACCATAAAAAAGTGTTTTCCTACAATAATATTGATTTAATAATAATACTATAAATACTACTTCAAATACAAATATTAACTTCATTTATATAGCACCTTTATGCTTTATTAAAACAAACCTACACTTATGTGTTTTTGTATAATAAGAAAGATATTGTGTTTGTTACTATTGTTTTACTACAGTAAGATTGATATTATGTGTTTTACTATAGTGAGAAAGATATCATGTTTTTATTATGATTGGATAGTTATTTTGTGTTTAACTATAATAAAATAGATATTATGTGTTTTCTATAACATTAATATTATTTGATGAATACTGGTTAACCACTACATGAATTGGCTTCACTGTTCCCCCATTTATTGCTCTTTCGAATATGCTCAATATACTTAGAGCTGCAGAAGTTGTTCATGTGTTGTGTCTGCAGACAATAGACGTTTCCCCTTGACTTCCTGTAGTGAAGGGAAAGCCTCCGCAATCAGCTCTGTTTTTTCCAGCCTGACTTTAACTATCACTCCTGGCTCACTGCCTAAAAAGGTCTCCAGGGTCCAGTGAACACGAAAACGCTTTAAACCTGAGATCTTCTTTCAGCCTTTACATTTTCCATTCACTGTTACTTCACGGAGCATCAGGTCTCATGCTGAGGCATCACATTCAGTGACTTGTGAACCTGACTCATATGATCACAAGACACAGCTTTTGTCTTAATAGCTCATGCGTTGATGTCATTCTTCACTGTCACGTGCTGATTAATAAGCTGTGTCACTTCATGCTGTAAACTCACTCCACCTTCCATGAGAGTGAAGAGTTTATAAATTATATAGAGTTAATGCAAGTGATGATGGTGCATTCAGGTGCATTCGGGTGCATTTAGGTGCTCCGTGAACTGCTTGAGTTAAACATGTCAGGATCTCTGAGGAGGGGGAAATCACATGAACTGCAGATGAAAGTTTCTTAGTTTTATATTTTTCCTCACATGTGCTTTGCTTCCACCAATATACGATTATTTCATGTCTGGCTTTATCACCTTCAGCCAAGAACGAAGGTCATATTTAAAGATTTGTATGTTTGTTAATAAGCAAGACTACACAAAAGCAACTCAACGGATTCCCCCTAAACTTGTGGAAGAATGCGGTGGTACAGAGGAAAACCCATTACATTCTGATGCAGATCCTTTAACATTGAGATATAGACTGTTTTCTGACATTTTAATTTATTTCTTAGTGAACAATTTGTGAGTCTTGATGATAATTTTTTTTTCGGGGACTGATTTCAGTGAGTGTGTGCAATTTGGTGCCGCTTGAATAAACTGAAGGGAAGTTTTGGGCCTTGGCAGAGGTATCTGCTTTACTGAGTAACATTCTAGTTTAACCTTGAAGGTTAAACTCTGTTGAACATTTAAACCTGTTTCCCTGCAAACCAGTAAACAATTTTTGAATTTAGATTTGAGACTGAAAGGGTAAAGACACAAACAACCAAGTTCAAGAATCATTCTTATTTTGAAGCTTTACACCTCCTGAACTCTCTCCCATTTTCTTTTTACTATGCACTTTAAAATATACAAATGCTTCTAGGTTTTTATATTGTAAATATTAGCTTTTTCCTTTCATAAATTTCAGTAAATCTTAATATCTTTGTGTTTTTGTGGCTCTAAGAAATTGCGATGAGAATTTTCTGATGTTTTATGGATCCACCATTCATTCAACTGATTAATCAAGCTATCAGATAAACTGGCAAAGAAAAGAGCAATAGGCTGTGACCCCCCCTTGTTATATTTAGACCCTGTTAACAGTGTTTGGATGTGGGGACAATGCTCCACACCTGGCCCAGCCCACGACTTCCTGCCCGATCTGCCGAGCTGACAAGATGATGAAGACCATTTCCTCCCTCCTCACACCCATTGTCTTATCTGTGTGGTTTCTTTTGTCCAACCAATTAACAAGCAACTGTGGCTTCTTCTCAAGACGTACAACAACGACAAAAAAACAACCCTGTAATCCACTTCTCAGTCCCAGTGGGGTCTTTGCTGCGATGGTCATCAATCACCGTCCTTTTCCTTCGCTCTCTGAGTGAAGAGCGCTCCAAGTGATCCAGCAGTTGTCCAGAGGAAATCCTCTCAACTGCATTTTCCCAGCAGACAATGAATGGAAGTGTCCTTCAGCATCCTCCGAATCAACCTCTGTCGTTTACTGCGCTCGCTTCCCTCGTGTTCTCCAACTCCTGGACAACAAACACAACTTTTATCTCCAGTGGAAGAGTTCGCACTTTGGTCCAACATGCCAAACAGTGTGTGTGCAGTGAATTTTAACTGAAATCATCAGTGCTCAAGTGCTGCCTGCAGCTGCCACTCAGGGGCGCTACTTATCAGGGTGTGTGGATTTGTTACAAAACCAGTCTCGTGGGTTTTTGTGATGTGAATACTGAGTGGGTGCAAGTGATACAGTACTCACCGGGGTTCTTTTTGAAGAAGCACTTCATGTAATCACTTTATAGTTTTGGCATTTATATCAAATACTTGTTTATAAGAATATTTTCAAAGAGAACTCCACTCTCAATAATTCAAGAGCTTCACTCCCAAAAATCTACTCATGAAATATAAATAAATATGTGATTTTTATAAACGACACGTAGCATAAATTTTTTGCTTTGGTCGACCACTACAACTGAAACTTCTTTTGCTGCCAAACGTCCCCTTTAAACTGTCTCATGGTCCCCCTCGCACTTAAAAGCTCTGCCAAGCACTGAGGAGTGGAGGCTTGAATGAACACATTGAGGTCCCCGAATCTTTCTGCTGTCATTGGCTCATAAAATTGTTGCCTCCTTTGTATCCACCGAGGAGGAGAGGGAGCGAAGAGGACGAGGAGGAGGAAACAAAACAAAAGCATTTTGTATTAAGTGCTGGGGCTGATTCAAGGGTTGGCCAACCCCGCAGCATCGTAGGGTTGTCGTCTCTGTGAAGTTGTTGGTTTCTTTCCGCCTTTGTTGTTAAGAATACAGGAAATATAGCTGAATGGGGGAAGATACCCAGAATCCCTGAGGCGTGATGAAAGGATATCTCAGAGCTCATCTAAAGTAGAACTAATTTGGCGTCTCTTAAACTGGTTCCAACTTTTTTTTAATACAAATTGGGGCTAATTACCTCTGGGGCTGTCATCTCAAAGCACCACAGTTGGCTCCGGACCAGGTGTCTGATCACACACACCTCAGAGTGGACTTTAAAAAGCAGTTTGTCAATTTTGAACATGAATATATGATCGGTGCATTAGATATTCTGTCAACAACATCTGACGAATGCACAAGAGGAGTCGTCTTCTACTGATTTATTTAGATCACGTGTTGAATCTATAATATGCTGTACGTGTAACTGCAGACTCAAAAATCAATTGAAGCAACACATCTCTGAGACAGAGTCAACAAAAACTGAAAGTTAAAAAGCCTCATAAGTCGGGCTGGAAACAATATCAATAATTAGCACAGTTGTCCTCAGTAGTAATATAACAAGTCCAATAAATATTAATAGAATGCATATTCATCGACATTTATCATGATAATTATCAATAATGATTGATAGTGAAAGTTGTCTTTATAACATTTTTGGCCATATCGCCCAACCCCTATCAAAAAGTATCGAGAGAATATCACAACACTGTTGATCACATGTATGTCATAAACAGGCAACTTGTTAATGTAAGGCAGTAAGGACACACAAATTAATACACAATCATTAACACAACGTGCACCAGAATTTATTATAACAATGTGCCTGTTTTGTGGAACAACAATATCACACTGGAAAAGAGAAGGTCAGAGATTATCTTTATATAGTTTATTTTAGTTAAATAGTTTCTGGAAGTATTTTTCAATCCTGACAAAAGAAAAAAGTTAGATTTCTTTTCATGTTACATCGTTTGTGTTTTCCAGAGCTGCCAACATATTCTATATCACAATATATTCAAGCTTTTTTATGCTGAAATGGTTCATTTGTATTCATGAGAAAACAAAACATAAGCAATAATAAATATGAGAAATAATTACATAGGTATGGTCGAGTCATTTCAAGCATCATTTTATCTGGATCAGAGTTTTCATTTAAATAGAAGAAACATGCATTTTGTTCACACAGACAGCTGTCAACAGTTTATTACAATCATAATATATCAAAGCTTTAATATTCTCACAAAACATAATTATACAAGAAATAATAACATAGTCCTGCCCCCTGTATGATGCTGTCTTTAGATAATAACTCAAGTGTGATCTCATTTGTTTGACTGCTTTATTTCAGTTTAATGTCTAATAATAACATCTACACTGAGAGCAATTATTCTAATTGTGATTATTATAATTGTGATCAGTGTATATGAACACGTTGAGGATTATGTATTACATTTAATTCAATGTTTTTACCTGTTTCAGATTGATCACTTTGGATTTCTGGAGGATGGCACGTTCAAACAGAGATACCTGGTTGCCGACGAACACTGGAAACAACCTGGAGGACCTATTTTATTCTACACAGGCAATGAAGGCGACATCGCGTGGTTCTGCAACAATACTGTAAATATCCCATCTGTTAACTTTTTGTTGACACTGCGCACAACCTCAAATTGGATTCAACGTCCGCCTTTGTTCTCTCCTCAGGGCTTCATGTGGGAAATTGCGGAGGAGTTGGGCGCCATGCTGGTTTTTGCAGAACATCGTTACTATGGAGAATCTCTGCCGTTTGGACAAGACTCTTATAGTGTAAGTGAAGAAGATCTAATTCTCATTAAAATAGAATTCAGCGTGATTTTTGCTGACATGTATGTCCTGAAATTCTTGTAGGTTTGTTAGGTAAAGATGTTCAAATATTTGCCAACAATTTTGTGTTTTCATCTTTTAATTTCCGAACAATACTTGTGGTTTTCCTGCAGGACAGCAAACACCTGAACTACCTGACCTCCGAGCAGGCCTTGGCAGATTTTGCAGTTCTGATTCAAAGCTTGAAGAGCACTTTAACCGGAGCTCAGCACAGCCCAGTCATTGCTGTTGGAGGCTCCTACGGGGGGATGCTCTCTGCCTGGTTCAGGATGAAGTACCCCAATGTAGTTGTCGGGTAATATACTCGTCCAGTATTTACGAATTACGTATCATTGCGTGCTGAATGATGGCAGAACAGGATGTGACGCGCACAGAAATCAGTCGTGTGGTTGTGTTTTCCATTTGAGGTTGTGGTATGTGGTGGTGTAGGTGGTGTTCCCCCGACTCACTGAAGCCAGGCAGCCTTCTCCTTTTGTGGGACAGTTTATCACTTTCATGTCCTAAATCATAAAGCACAGGCTGGATCGACACAGCTAACATCAGGGTCTCCTCCATCTTGGTTCACTATGAAAGCTACAGCCATGACGGCCAAGTAGGGGTCAACTACACAAACTACACAAAATTCAATTGGTTGTTAAGGTCAAAGTTCACGGAAGTTGAACTCTAAGCGAAGCCATGCAGCGGATGTGCTTTGCCACTGGAAGTGAAAGTTTAATTCGCCCCAGAATGGATGTGAACGGGAAAAGATCTCACATGACAACACAATGATGCACAGCCGGACTACTGACAAGGTTTTTCAGGGTTAGGGGTTAGGGTTCTATACCTATATAAAACACAAGAGGAAGGACAAACTGACAAAGCTTTATACACCTCCTTCGATGATGCACTTGCAGCCTCAAGTTCACCGGACCAGTCATTTCACACCAAAGGATAGTGAGCATTCCTCTGAGTGCTCGTTCAAGTATTTCTCATCAGTTTTTCCTTCCTGAGCTCCTGTCGGTAAATTAATGTCTGTAATAAACACCAGCTGTTCATTTGAGTCAACAGTCTGTTTTACAAGAGGCTCTGTAGAAGTATGAGACATGAGGCTTCAGAGCTGAAATCAGCGTTTTCCATGCTGTGATCATTATGGTCCTCCTGCAAACATCCTCCATAAATGTTATTCACAGGGGAAAATGGATCGACAGAAAATAAGAACTGGTTTTTGCTTCTTGTATTTCAGAGCTCTGGCATCCTCCGCACCAATATGGCAGTTCCCTGGTCTGGTGCCATGTGGCGCCTTCTACAGAACAGTAACGCAAGACTTCGCCAGAAGTGGCTATAACTGTGATGCCAACATTAGAAAGTCGTGGAAGGCAATTAATAATGTCTCCTCCACTGGTGAGTCAAACACTCGAGGGTTGATTTATCTTTTTCTGTCATGTTATTTGAAATATGATGGACTTGAATTATTCAGAACAATTAGTCAATCCAGTTAAACTGCATCTGTGATGGGCGTTACTGGATTGTGAGAATTTCTGTCCATATGGTTCATGTTTGTTAAGTGGTGCTGTCATCTTCTACAGCCTGAAACCAGACGGCTGTTACAAAAACCTGGAGAACTACAGGGTATAAAGTCTGCAGAGGACAGCTTGTGATATATGGAGAGAATATATGGGTCCATTAATGTTTTACATTACATTTCATTTAGCTGACGCTTTTCTCACTCAGATCTGAACAAATCAGAATAAAAAATTGCCTTTCTGAAACACACTGGTACTTTTTCCGTCATCACAATCTTGAAATGTGGGATTGTGTATTTACATGAGAGTTTCTCTCTCCACACTTTCTGTGTAAATTCTAAACGAAATGATTGTTTTCTTCTGCGCTGGAAAGTTTCTTTGAGGAAACTGTCACTTTGTGATAAAATACTGCTGTTAGCTGCCAAAGCTATCATGAGGTTTTGATATGAAAAGCATAGACTGTATTAATAAATGGATATGTCTATAAAGATGGATGATGATAGTGACATCAAAGTGTCTCTATTGCCACCTCGTGGCTGGCTGCAGTATATGTCATAAACCCTCTCTCCTCCATGTTAATGAAAGGCAACAACGTCACTGTCAAATTTTAGAACCAAGTAGCATTGTGATAATAATATATTGTTATAATATAATAATTTTATTTGGGACACCTTTCAAAACACAGGCACAAAGTAAGAACAAAGACGACAGATCAATAAAATCAACAGTTAAATAATTTAAATAATTAAGATAAATCATAAATTAACAGATAAAATCAGGGACATTTTCAATTTAAAGAAAAAACTTAAAAGATGACACTGACAGACTCATTTCCTCAGGTGACCTTCAGGTGACTCTAACATCTAACTTGATCAATGCAGTGCACATTAAAAAGACATTAATACAATTCATTTCTTGTTCTCTTTCGACAAGCATCTGGTCTCCAGTGGCTCTCAGATGAATTCAATTTGTGCAGCCCTCTCAAAAACCCGATGGATGCCATCGCCTTCAAGAACTGGCTTCAAGAGACTTGGGTGAACCTGGCAATGGTGGACTACCCGTATGAAGCCAGCTTCCTGCAGCCGCTACCTCGCTGGCCGATCCAGGTATAAATAAAAAATATATAATTGGTAGTAAAATAAAATCCTGTATCATTTTTTAGTTATCAAATACAATTCAATCGTAGTTAAACTTCAGTAAACTTTACTTTGGATTTTGTTTGTCTTTGCTGAAGCAGCTGATCCTTAGTTGAAATGAACGAGTGATTCAGCCGATTGTTCATCGAGTGTTTGTTGTGGTCTTCCCCGCTTTTGTGTACAACAGCTGTCAATTAACTTCATTATTATTCATAAGGATCTCGCTTCCCTTTGGACTGTAAGTTTTCTTTAGCTGAGCAGCTACAAGTAAGCCACCATTCTTCCTCTTCTCCTCGTACCGAGAGCCTTTTCAGTCGCATCCTCCGTCAGATCTCTGAGGTGTTCCTCTCAGGACGCTCACACAGGGCCACAGAAAGAGGAGATTTGCCCAGAGCTGCTCATGAGTTAAACAAAGGTTTACCACTCTCACTTGAATGGGACTGTAACAAATACTTCACCAGACACTTAATGTAATCATGTAATGTGGCTTAAAACTAAATTTCCTTTTTATATTTATATTCATGCAAAAGCTTGTGAGTGACCAGCGGCTGATCAGAGGCTGATAGACTTGGGTGCAGTGTATTCCACCAGTCACCTTGGCATGTCACGTGCATAAACCGAGCTCTGCCATTGACCCCCGCACTCTGTTTGGAGCCTCCGCACTCCTCCCAGCACCCCACACAGCTTCTTCAAAATAAAACTTCTACCACACCGATACATTCTTTTTGTTATTTGTTTGCCATTTAGCCACTGAAAAGATCTGGGAGCACAGACAAACACTAAATGGCCATTTTGAGTTTTTTTTTTTTCCTTGGCTCTTTGCCTTTAATGTATGCGACCCCTATGGGTGGTTTAAGCAGTTTAGGCAGTGGGTGCAAAGAGGAGCTTTTTTAATGACAAAGCTAATGTGATTATCTGAGTGAGTGTGAGAACGGGGTATTGAGGGCTTAGAGGAGGGAAATCTGTTGGCAGAGATGAATGTATAAGCCTAATCCTATCTGAAAAGTAAGGAGAAGATGCTTTGGAGCAATTGCAGTGTTTTTTTTTCTTTCACGGTATAAATCTTTAGTTGGACATGTCTGTGGCCCTCCTCATCCATCGACCACCAACTCCTCCCCAGCCCGCAGACAAAAGCCTTAGTAACAGACTCCACACTAGCGCAGCTCCCCTCCAACGTCCAAACAAGGAAGCCCAGTTCCCCCCGACTCACAAAGAGAGCGCCGAACAACAGCCACGGCCAACTCTGCCGCCGCAACCATAACAACACTCGGAAAAATAAAACAGACGCCGAAACTCAAATATCTATCATTAATTCTGAGAAATCAGCCATGGTCACGCAAAAATAGTAGCAACACATTCAACGTTAAAAAAAACCACAACAATTTAGATCATTGGCTTTAAGTAAGTGGACGTTTTTCTCCTCTTGTGCCAAGATTAAAGCAATAAATTCAAGTTCATTCCAGGGAATTTCATATGCAAATCAGGCGCCACCACGTTTTATGTGGAAAACACTTTAGGGGCCACAAGAAAGCAATGTTCAGTCTTGTAAACAACTTGGATATACAGTGGCTGCAGACAGGTTTTACACCCCTTCACATTTTCACTCTTTCTCTCTTTATTACAGTATGTTGGGAAGTTTTTGCCCATGAAGCTACAACGTAAAAACCTGATGACTTGACTCCAGTGCATCTGTGGCAAACTGAAATTATTGGGAATTTTATTGATTGATTGGATTTGATTCGCTGATAGGATTCTTGTCCAATCAATCTGAACTGATCAGATGCAAACCAGGCTATGAAGTCCGAGGAACACTCTGTAGACCTCTGCGGAAAAATTGTGGCACGTCAAAGATCAGAGCATGAAACCATTTCTAAAGCATGGTGTGTTCCGAGAAGCACCGTGGCCTCCATAATTAGGAAATGGAAGAAGTTTGGAAACCACAGTTGGCAAAACTGAGTAAACGAGCGAGAAGGACCTTGTTCAATTTCACAGAGCGTCAGAACTCCCTTGCAGAGAATCTGCTCGAAGGACGACAGTGTCAGCAGCTCCCAATCAACAACACCTTTATGGGAGAGTTGCAAGATATAAGGCACCGTGAGCAAAAAGGATATTATAGACTGTTGGAATTTGCTTTACCTGAACTGTAATCTAATCATAAACTTGTGTTTTCCAGGTGGTGTGCAAGTATCTCAGTTTGAATTCCACTGTGTCCGACTACGAGCTCCTGCACGGCGTTTCTCAAGCAGCAAAGGTCTACTATAACTACACCGGCAGCTCCTCCTGTCTAAACACATCTCAGACAGCGACCGGCAGCCTCGGGTTACTCGGCTGGTTTTACCAGGTGTGGCAGCACAGAGCGAAAGGATCACTCTTGTCGTGTACTGAATAAAATGGTGCACAAATGTGTCAGTGGGCAGCTGCACCTGTCTGAACGAATGTGTGTCCTATCCCTCATCCTCAGGCCTGCACAGAGATGGTGATGCCCATGTGCACAGATGGCGTCCATGACATGTTTGAACCCGAGGAGTGGAACTTCCAGGCCTTCTCTGAGGAGTGTCACGCCATGTTCGGCGTCAGGCCGCGGGCTGAGTGGGCAGGCATCGTCTACGGGGGGAAGGACCTCGCTGCTCACAGCAACATCATCTTCAGGTAAACACTGGCTGTAAAATGTCCGACAGGGTTTCCTATGTTTTCCGAGTTCGTATATTGCAAAGAGATCAGCTTGACCGCAAATACTAAAGGTAAATGCCACACGCCGGCTTTCCCATAAAACTATCTGTGCTTTTACACTCAAATACAGTAAAATGTTTATTATCACATGCAAGAAAAACCTTTCTACCTGAAAATGGACTGGCTGTGACGTTTTATTAACTCTTGTGAGGTAAAGCACCATAGATAAGAGAATTAAAAGATCCATGAATTATTCCCTGGGAAATTGTTAAAAATTTAAAAAGTGATAATATTAATCGATCATTAAAGATGTGATAAAATGTTTGATTAGATTTAGTTTGCCCCTTCGCTCAGATCTGCGGCTGAAATTTATAGGTTCTTTCTCAGCTTATGTCCCACAAAGTGTCCTGGAAATACATCCAGTAGATTTTACATTACCCTGCTGATAAACAAACTATCAAACCAACAAATAAACTCACAAGAATGAAAACATAGCCCTTTTGGCGGAGGTAACCAATAAATCATTTTCCTCAGTTTCTTTTTTTGCCAAAATTCACCCACAATGTGTTTGTTGGTTTGCTGATGCACTATGAACTCGCACATGAACACCCTGTTGTTGAATTCTCTGTGTCTCTGTTGTGTTTCAGTAACGGAGGACTCGACCCGTGGTCGGCCGGTGGCGTCACCTACAACATAACAGATTCTCTGGTTTCTGTCATGATTCCTGACGGAGCTCATCACCTGGACCTCCGCTACAGCAACGACTACGACCCTCCCTCAGTCCGAGCAGCCCGGGCGTTGGAGCTGAAGTATTTTCGGGAATGGATCAAGCAGGTTCAAACTGTGTCAATGCCCTAATCTCTCAAAGCGGCACAAACGTTACCTGATTTACTAATCAGTGACACGGTATTTCACAGGGTTCTCTTTCTGTCATGAGGCCAAAGTTTAAATCAATCAGAGATTTTCTTTAAAAGATCAAATGAATGCACATTAATTTAAACATCAATATTGATTTTAAAAACATGACAATTACTTAAATTCATGTTTTTATTGTTAAATCATAGATTTCAGTGCTGGAGTCTTAGACTTCAATTAAATAGATAAATACTTAATTTAAACAGAGGAAATAGGGGAGTCCAAATACAGCACAACCCCAGGATAACAGCACAGTATTTCTTTATGCCAAATGATATATTTCCAAATGCTGGGACATAAATTATTATTATTATGAGTGAAAATGAAAAGTGTCTTGATCACAATGTAGTTCAGTTAATATCTTTATTTAGTTTGTTCATGTTATCAAATAATCACCAAAAGACTCAGATCATCCTCATTTTGTCTGAAGTTTGACAAAACCCATCATGGCCTCTCTGTCGTCCAGCTTTTATTTTCTGCCTCTGTCAGTGTTTCAGTCAGGGCGACATTTCCTGTTCGATCACATCTTCATGTCATTGACACTCCTTAAGTTTTTGTTGATTAGCCATTGGTGTTTGTAACGTCTCAGGAGAAAAGTTGACACCAAATACTTTGTAAAGACGACACATTTTTTAATGTTATTAAACTTTGATATAAGAGCAGTGCCTTCTCGCTTTTAAACTTTTGTATTTATGTCTCACACATAAATTCTTTTTGAGCAGTCAACACATCCACCAGTGAACCTGATTATAAATCCATGTATTATATCATCGTATAATTGTATAATTTTCTTTCAGTCATATATGGATGTAACATTGTTCTGTCTGCCAGACTTTTTGTCTTGCCTCAGAATAACCGGGGCTTTTAAGTTGCCTCCGCCTTGAAGGAACAGTTGCATGTGCTGGAGATTTAATAAAAACTCAATCGGAGGAGGCCAATAAAGTGAGTGGTGGGAGGTTATTGCAGCTACGCCTGCTGACCTCACCCCCGTGGACCAACCTGTGGGATTCCCCTCCTGGCACACATTCATTCACTGGCCGCCATTAAAGCTTTAAATTGCTGCACCAAAGTCGCCCACAGACCCCATTTTGTTCCCCCCCTGCCAGTAATATTATTAATACAACTCCTGGGGTGCCAGCGAAGTTGAGAGGGGTTGATGGGAGGTTAAGAGCAAGACGCTGAATGGATGCAGGGATTGTCAGGGACAGAGAAGATTTTTTTGTAGTTCAGTGTGAAGTCACCGTTCAAATGTGAAGATAAAAAGCTTAAACGGTTCCTGCTTTGTAATTTTCTCGCCGATTCCTTTTTCACCCAAGGTTCAAGATTTACTCACACTGGTTCTGAACCTGCCTGTTTGGAATGTTTGCCTGACCTGTCTTAATGTTCCAGTGCTACTTCAGAATTATTCCACTAGTGAGTCCTCCTCAAACAGTTCTACAATATAGTGCCACTATTTATTGTTTGTGTGCAGAGCTTTTTATAAACAGTCTATTGTGTGAAGATGAGTGAAGTTAGAAAACTTTGTGTTCATCCTACCTGGTTAATCTGCAGTTAATCGTGAGTATTTTTCATAAAATGAATGAATGATTTACTTAACAAATGCAATTTTTTCATACATTGCATATTGGCAGAGATGTGTTTCAAAATAAAAGCTCTGTAATTTAGCTCACATTAAGCATTGCAGCTATAAATTGAAAATTTTACTTTGTAGACAAATAGTGAAAAAGGAATTAATTTTAATGTTGCCATGACGGATATCAGCTCCTGTGACCCACATGAATGTCCATCAGCCCAATCTGGCAGGAGAGATATTATTGGGCGCAGGACGTAGAGGAAGAAATGTTTAACTCGATCCACAGACTAAAGGCACACTGCCCCACCCCCACTGACTGCAACTGAGCGCTGACACAGAAAATGTTGAATAAACAGATATATATGGTGCAGACAGACATTAGGATGTTGCACGCAACTGAATGAAATAAATAGATAAATAAGATGTAAAGAGATGTAATAAATATTGCACATATCCTCTGTTAAAGCAAAACGTTCCTGATGTGACGTGACCGTGTGAAACAGACAAGGAACATGTCCTGCGCTGGAATGCGGGTTGATTTCCCAACATTTTGTCACAGGCTTGACTGAATCACCCAACGTTTTAAAGAAACACAGCTAAACATGGGGGAGGACGGGGTCTCCACTACTAAATGCCCTCCTTAAACTTTTCTCAGGCCTTTGAGAGGTCATTAATTTTGTCAGCCTTTTCTAAGTCTCTGACACTGGCCATCAATCAAAGGTGTTATTAGTATTCGCTGGAACACAAACTCCGAGCATGTCCCTGCTCAGACAGGGACCACACACTAGTATAGGAAGAGATTAAGGTTGTGTGTGTCACATCACATTGCACCGAGCACCCCACGCCCTCTGGGATGGGTGCTGCTGAATAAGTGAATTCTCTGAGTGGTAATGTTTAACAATATCTCAACAATATGGATCTGGGTACTTAACAACTCGCTGGTTGTGGGGGAAAAAAAGTGCAGCAGATTACTAATGATTTTCTCTAAATTAAACTTTCCCCCCTGAGGTCCAAACAAAATGAGATTCTCAGAATGCAATCCATTTTGTGACCTTTGTGATTAACGTTAAAATAAACATAGCTCCATTACAGGAATTAAACAAATCAATTAACAAACAACCTCTCATTAAAAGTCCTGAAAGTGTAAACGAGTTAAAACTTCATCAGCTGTATTCTCAGTTCACATATATATATAATTTTTTTTTCTCCAAGCTATTTCGCCACCGCCGTCGCAGCCCCCTCTCAGCCTTTATGCAACAATAGAAACTTGTTTCCGGGATCTGTGCGTCAGGCTCTGTGATGTGAATGACCCACCAGCACAAAAGCCAAAAGCCCCTTTGACTAGGAGGAGAAAAAAAAGGGTGGATATGGCTGCCATGACTGTGATGATGTCACTGTGCCAAAATTGTGCCGCTTGCGAAGAGAGGGAAGCAAAAATCAGCTCCATGAGTCGTTGTGACGCTGCTGCAGCTGATCTGCCTCTCTTCCCTCACTTAGGTTTAATTAAATACAAGTTTTTATCTGATAAATGAAATGTTCGCTTTGCCTGTTGAACAGTTTCCCAACATGAATTCTGGGTTTTGTTGGGAAATGTCATAATCGTCATCTGTATAAATAGCAAGATATTCTATTTGACTGGATTTCTTTACATTTATAGACTTGTGTTGTGTTGGGCCACAGATAATGAGATCAGTGCTCTCAGTTTCACTGTCCCTTTTCTCCTCATTAACATAAGAAAGAACTCTGCATCACCTTAACATGCAGATTTGTAAGAGGAGCGATTTCATTTAATCAGTCATTTGAACCTTGTCTTAAAGTGTGTTAAAGTAGGAATAATAACAGTTTTATAGTGGTCAGAGGAAGGACAGGATTCTTTGGTAAAGAATAGAAAATGTGTATAGCTTAGCAGTAAGTTACAGGTTTTTAATGTATAGTCAACTTATGTTTCGAAATTCACTTGAAATTCCCCTTAAATTGGCCAAAAAGTGTTGGCAACACAACAACACGTCCTTTATTGTATTCAGCACAGCCCAAGAAACGTCCTGTAAATACATTATTGTTTACAGCAGAAAGTTTCATACCCTGGATTTCGTAAGGTCAACATTTCTTCTGGCACACTGAGCCTGAACTGCACTATATTCCCCTTTAATTTAACAGCTCCGGCAGCTTTTCTAGTTAAATCGACTGTTCATTATTGAGACCCATTTTACGAAGGGGCTGTGAGGTGCAATTTAATGAATCTCTGGCACAAAGCTCCCTTTCACTGCCGGGCAAAGAATAGAGGCTATTTAGACCCTGTAGGGCTTTATGTCAAAGGCAGCCCATAATAGTTGTCAGGCCAGGGCAGAAATTCCCACTGGCCTGGGAATGCACCAGAAATCAACTTTTGCCATGAGCAGATTAAGACACAAGCGAGCAGTTGGGAAGATTCTTCCTTATTGTGGCATCTGTTTGGGCTCAAAGATTTTCCCACAGAAAGGAGGCCTTTCTCTTTACTGTATAGCCTCAAATCTGTTTTTAATGCTGCGTTTGTTTCAGCGGCTAAATGAACAGTAATTAGATTACAAGTTAACTTCTATTTGGTAATCCAGACACGAAGCATGAAAGAATTCAATAACAATTACAGTTTTTTTTAGAAAAGCAAACAGGAATGAGGAGAATAATAATGCTGTGGATCAGTGAAAGATTTCACTTAATTAACTTCAAACACTGCTTCCATTTTCTGGGTTACTTTACAAATGAGTTTATACTTTATAAAAATGTTTAAGAGGTTCACCAAGAGCTACAGTAATATCCTCCTTCACAAGAGCGTTTTTTTGATTCAGAGCACACACAAACAGTTAAAGCTGAGGGGGAGAGTTGTGACAGAGGTTATTGTCTTCAACTCAGCAGGGAATTTCAGACAAATCCCTCTTAGATGCAGGTGGTCGGGCACAAGCAAAGAGTTAAGTCCCGCGGTCCCTTTGCCCCTCCTCTTTGATGTTCTGACATCATTAGTCCAGCCCCCCCTAAGATCTCCTCACGTCCCTCGGAGTCCGTCACTTCTACTCTGGAATGTTTACAGGAGCTCCATGAGCAGCATCAGGACCGAGTGTTTGTCAGTGCAGAGAAAATAGAAATGCTTTGAGGAAACTTTTGGATCAAGGATCACAGCGGATGCCACAGGTGTAGCCGCTGGGCCTCGACAGAGTAATGGCTGTTCAGACTGCAATCATGAACCCTCAGTTCATGAATTTTTGCTTCTCGGGTTCTGTGGTGGAGTACGACGTGGAGAAGAGTCTGGACGGGGGTCTCCTGGGTGAGGCAGAAAATGACGAAGACTACAAAGAGACAACCAGGGACCTGCTGAGCTTCATAGACTCGGCCTCCAGCAATATCAAGCTGGCTCTGGACAAGCCAGTGAAATCCAAAAGGAAAGTCAACCACCGGAAGTATCTGCAGAAGCAGATCAAGAGGTGCACCGGCATCATAACACCAGGAAACACTGCTGAAGCTCCAGTGAAACGACAGGGGTCCCCTCTGGCTCAGCCCAGCCCTTTGCAGAGCAAAACTCTGCCTAAACGCGATGGAGTCCAGGCCAACTTACAGAGCAAGAGCTTGGCTGCGCTCTTTAGCCCTGTGAAAGATATCAGGGGTGAAAAGGCCAAGAAGCCGCCCCTGAGGCATCGCAACCTGCCCCCCTCTTTCTTCACGGAGCCGGCCAACTGCTCCAAAGTCAGCTCCACATCTGGGATGACGCTGAAGGACTTTGAGCGAGGAAACCCGGAGGCCGCAGAGTTCTTCGAGCTCTTGGGGCCCGATTACAGCAACCTGGTCAGTGACCAGGACCTTTATCAAAACATGCCTCTGCGGGTGCAGCCAGAGATGGGAGGCCTGGATCCTGCCACTTATGACTCTCACCATTTAGTCGGTGGTCTCCTCTACTCGGAGCCCTGGACTAGCTGCTCTGGACCCTCTAAAAAAGCGGGGGAGAGCCTGCGAACAGGCCCGGCCCAGCCCCCCCTCTACTGTCAGTCTGAGGCTGCCACCACGGGGCCCTTAGAGGACAACGCACTGTGCACTTTGGCCTTCCCCAACTTCTTCACA